TGATAATAATAATAATAATAATAATAATAATAATAATAATAATAATAATAATAATAATAATGTAATAATAATAATTACACTTAGTTAACAAAGAAAAATAATTTTCAGTAATATTTTATTTGTGTATCTTATTAATATGCACTTAATATTAATAATTCAAAATTATTATTACTATTTGTTTTAGATTTGTGCTATGACTTCACTTCTCGAACTCCTCCTGTACTAATATAATGTCCATTTTCAATTTCTTCAAATATCTTATTAATGTTATAAGCAGTTTTTGCAGTTGTTCATTTATAAAGTAGTCTTTTACATTACAGAAAATACCTAGAAAAAGTCCCTCTATAATTGTAAGAACCAGAGAACATAAACCAGGTGTCAAACAGTGAAGACTAAAGCATTCAGTTTAAAATGGCTTCTTTCCATGCTTGTTATATTCTTTTGCTGTGTAGGTATGCAACCTATACCAATTGCAATTGGTTTGCTTAGACCTGATGCTCCTTTCTTTACTGTGCTGACGATGCTTTTGTAAAGATTATGAATAACCTTATTTTAATCAAATCAACTTTGAGCAGGATCTTTCAGGGTTGAAACAACAAGCAAATCCTGTGCAATTGTGAATCTTCCTAATTACTAATAATTACTAGTTACTTCGATAACTGTAAATATTGCTCAATAACTTTCAGTAGCATTTTCTTGAAGGTTTAATTCAGCCACTTTTCCCTTATTTTTGCACTCTAATTAAGGGATCTCATACAATCTCTGAGCACCAAACATCTCAAGCCTAAAAACATCTGAAGATTTTCATGTATGTCTGGCCTTAATCTAAAAATGTCTCTGACACTTTGGCATCCCACATCACTACTGGAAAGTGAATGTTTCAAGCCTCATGCTTTCTCCATCAACTTAAGAAATTTTAGCCACTTGCCAAACTGAACTACTCTCTTTTCTTACAACTCCACAGAAATTAGCAAAGTAAATTATGGCAAATTTATTTAAGAAAGGAATGTAACTCATGGCTACATCTGCTAGTACAAAAATACATCAAGTCTTATTGGTTGACTCTGCTACCATAGGTTTGCCATGTAATGCTACCACAGAAACACACTACTTCACTGGCTGAAAAATCAAGGACCTGCCTGCATGCTGATTCTCCTTTTCTCTTCCTTTCAACAGGTATCCCACAACAAACTGTAGGACTTCCACATACTTCCTCCTCCCTTATTTCTTTTTTTTTTTTTTTTTAAAAGGAAACAAAAGAGAGATGAGGCAGGAAGAAGAGGAGCTACACCTCCTCCTTTCACTTAAATAAATTAGAAATTTCTATTCCAGATACAAAAAGCCTTGTTCAGTATGCTTTTATTATAATAAACTTTTTATAGAAACACAGAACAGCAAAATATACTACATGGAACAGATATTTCTTGACTCAGAGACTCAGCTAAAAGCTAGCAAAATACTTACACCTGTGTAACAAATACCACAGAATCACAGAACCATCTAGGTTGGAAAAAGCCTTGAAGATCATCTAGTCTGACCATTAACCTAACACGGACTCTTCACAACTACACCATATCCCTCAGCACTATGTCAGCCCGACTCTTAAACACCTCCAGGGATGGAGACTCCACCACCTCCTTGGGCAGCCCATTACAACACTTAACAACTCGTTCTGTAAAGAAATACTTCCTGACATCTAGTCTAAACTTTCTCTGGCGCAACTTGAAGCCATTACCTCTAGTCCTGTCAATTACTACTCGGTTAAAGAGTCTCAAACCCAGCTCTCTGCAACCTCCTTTCAGGTAGCTGTAGAGGGCGATGAGGTCTCCCCTCAGCCTCCTCTTCTTCAGACTAAACAACCCCAGTTCCATCAGCCCCTCCTCGTACGACATGTGCTCCAGACCCTGCACCAGCTTCGTTGCCCTTCTCTGGACACGCTCGAGTCATTCAATGTCCTTTTTGTAGTGAGGGGCCCAAAACTGAACACAGTCATCGAGATGCGGCCTCACCACTGCAGAGTACAGGGGTAAGATCCCTTCCCTGTCCCTGTTGGCCACGCTATTGCTGACACAAGCCAGGATGCCACTGGCCTTCTTGGCCACCTGGGCACACTGCTGGCTCCTGTTCAGCCAGCTGTCAATCAACACCCCCAGGTCCCTCTCTGACTGGCAGCTCTCCAGCCACTCCTCCCCAAGCCTGTAGCGCTGCTGGGGGTTGTTGTGGCCCAAGGGCAGCCCCCGGCATTTGGCCTTATGGAAACTCCTACAGTTGGCCTCAGCCCATGGCTCCAGCCTGTCCAGGTCTCTGCAGAGCCTCTCTACCCTCGAGCAGATCAACACTCCCACCCAACTTGGGGTCATTTGCAAACTGACTGAGGGTGCACTTGATCCCCTCGTCTAGATCATCCATAAAGATGTTAAACAGGAGTAGCCCCAAAACCGAGCTCTGGGGGACACCACTCGTGACCGGCCACCAACTGGATTTAACTTCGTTCACCACAACTCTTTGGGCCCGGCCATCCAGACAGTTTTTTACCCAGCAAAGCGTGTGTCCATCCAAGCCACGAGCAGCCAGCTTCAGCAGGAGAATGCTGTGGTAAATGGTGTCAAAGGCCTTGCTAAAGTCAAGGTAGACAACATCCACCGCCTTTCCCTCATCCAATAAGCAGGTCACCCTGTCATAGGAGGAGATCAGGTTTGTCAAGCAGGACCTGCCTTTCATAAATCCATGGTGACTGGGCCTGAGCATCTGTGTTGTGTGGTGGTACCACATTTTGTTGGATCTGTGCTTTGTAGATAAGCTTTTCATAGAGCATGTAATGCCAGACCGTTAAAAGAAAAATTGGTTATAACCTTTATCTCAGTGAAATATGTATTTGCTCCTGTGCAGCTTAGAGGTCAACTGCCTTCTCTCTCCAAACTGTAGAATTTTCCTGTTGCTAAAACCTTGTTCAGGCTTGGTTGATATTGGGTAACTCACTGGATTTACTTGAGGAGATGGACAAATTTGCAATGCAATTACATAAAACTGCTTAGCCCCACAAAAGACTCCTAATGTGTATGTAATTTTTATATGCACATTTCAGCAGACCAGTTTCAGCTCCTGATTTTCCCAGGATATTTTACCAGGTGCTCAAGTGCTTGTAGGACCAGAAACCACTTTCTAAAACAGCCACCCAACTTTCCCTCTTCGGAGACAAAAATAAAACCAAACCTGACCTGATTTTTCCTTTTGCTTTTTTTTCTTACATACACATAATTCATCTAAAGTTAGAGTTGCATCAATGTAAAATTGAAGCCAGACTTCTGTAAATGATGGGAAAATTTATCTTAAACTAACAATTAAGAACATGAAAAAAATTCTCTTACAGCAACTATTTGGTTTGATATTTTCCATCATGATCCCAATTAATTTGAAATGGACAAAACAATGAATGCAGTGTGTTTCCAAAGAAACATGTTGGATGAGGATATATAATAAATAGTAGCTTCAGTAAGTGAGTCTGCATTGCAGAAATATGGCTTTGAAATACATTTCAAAGATAAATTAAGAAGATTCTAATAACAGGACCTTGTTTCAACACTGTATTTCAACTATTAATGAATATAATAAAGCACACATATAAAAAGATCCTCAACCAAATGCTAATGCACTTACTAGTAACACAAGTGTGAAACAGCTTGTCAGCATAAATCTTGATATAAATTTGTAAGCAGCTTGCTCATTCTGCTTTGGAATAGGATTTAAAAAAAAATAGAATTGTGTCTTTCTAAAAAAATCCACCTTGAATTGACTAAGATATGGAATTGTAATTATTGTCTCTAGTAGTTTAAGGTACCTTCAGTCAACACTCTTACACTGTAAAAGTTAGGTTTTATGTAACAGTAATTTAATTATTTGAGCTAACTCTGTAAAATGGCAGAGTATATAGAAAATCTAGCCTCTTGGCAGATGCCATCAAAAAATCTAAACACTTGACAAAAGGAAGTTTGCCTTTAATTTATGTAGTCCTTGAGCCTTAATATTGTTCAAAAAGCTATAGCTGATGAGGTCTGCTTAGTGTCAGGAAAAATCTTGATGCTAAACCAACACTGATCTAATAGCATATGATCTACAAGAACTTAAAAGCACAGTCTTATTTTAATATACTTCTGAAACATAAATAACATTCAGCATATTTCTAGAGGCCTTATAAGCCATAGATTTTTTCCTGCAACTAAGTAGCGCACACATCTGTGCATAAGTTGCTATGCGTATATGCACATATACACAAATGTAGTGAAAAAGAATTATTAAACATTAGATGCCCTTAGCCCACTGCATGTACAACCAATACTGAAGCATAATAACATATTATTCCCTAATACATGCATAGTAATAAAACCCAATAAAAAGGCGAAGAGCTAATAGCAGATAGTTACATATAGAATAGTTACATACTATAGGACTACTTCTTTGTGTCCATTCTTTAGGATTGCACTTACAGATAAATTACAGTCCTCTCTAGCAAAATAAACTAAGAACAGGAAAATCTAATGAGATTAAAATGTGCTAATAAATTTTAACTACAAGGTTAGAAATCAGTGATAGACTAATTTTTTTTGTTACTTCTTATATAGCATTCAATCCCATTAGCAGTACAAAACACTGCAAATTGCATCAATTAAAAATAAACAGATACAAAATTTCATAACTCATTAACAGTCAGGATTCAATTTATCATTATTTTACATTAGTGAGTCCCTTATTTACCACAGAAGTAAACAAGTACATACCTTGATCCAAAAGCTTGTCCTTTTCTTTTTTGTCATGCTGCAGCAAAGAACTTTTACCAGTATCCTTTGTTTCTGAAAAATGGATTTAGGATATATGTTAACCTCTCCCTGTGAATGGCACTGATTGACTTCCTACTGGAGAAAAAAAGGCCTTCTGAAACAAGTATTTGGTATTTTTATCTATAGTAGTTGTAGCAAATGGTGCTACAGTAAAACAACTGGAATAAATCAGTAAGATTTGTACTTTGCTACACAGACATACCACTAAATTATTTCTGGATAATACTGCTGTTGCAACCTACATGCCTACCAGTATTCAATATATACATTTGACTGCCTTCCACAAGGCAGTGGGATCCAGAAAACTATGGAAATGTTATGATTCAACTCTGTAGGAAACAGATCAAAGATAAAGCGAATATTAAGAAACTGTTAATGTAAGGTACTAACATTTGGCATAGAAAAGAGTTCAATCTTTTGGGTACACAGCTCATGTAGCTATAAAAGTATGTTGGAAACTGAAAAACAATAGGAAGAAACAGACAAAAGATCATGGCATACATTTCCATCAAAAACAAAAGCAGAATCTCATGATGATCTATAATTAATGATTTGAATTTTATTCAGAATTGCATTTTCTTTTAATGAAAATTTAGCATATCAAAGCAACAAAAACAAACACATCAGTGAGAATAAAAAGTCTTGAATAAAATGGATTAACATTTTTTTCACCTTCATGATGTCCATGTGCCATCTTCAGCATATCAGACTTGACTGGAATAGGAATATTTGCCTCCTGTGGTATATTTCTGAATATTTCAGGGTTTGCATTCTGTGTGCAAGTCATATATGAGACAGCATGCTTGGCTTCCATATAGTACATAATATAAAAGTTACACATTTCATCATTGGCTGTTCCCCTAAACAACACAGAAAAGATGCAGCAGTTAGGAAAAAAATGAGCTGAATATATCTGTTATTCTATTAATCTAACTTGTTTAAAAGATTAGAAAGTTGCAACGAAATGTTTAGTAGTCCCACACGAAAACATTTAATAGCTTAATTGCACCAAATATCAGAAGTTTCTTTCAGTTTATACTAAAGAACACCAGTTTGCACAAAATCCCCTGGTATCTTAGAAATTCTTAACAATTTGGTGTAGATTCTACAGAAAATTGTAAACTATTTAAACTGTTCTTCCTTCTTTTTTTCCCCAACATACTCCTCATAATCCCCAGTGTGTCACCAAATATGCACCTATTCTGATTATATACGACAGAACTGTATCATTCATTATGTAATTATCTATCAATCTGGGGAAAACCTAATATAAAATTGTGGTAAATAAAGTCTATGTTTCATTTCAGCAGCTATCTTTTATGACAGTTTTTTTATGCCCATGTTCAAGTTCATTCATTGTGCAGGTTTAAGCCCTGCTGGGATCGGAGAGCATGATGCCGTTGCCCCTCCCCCACCCTCAGCCGGTTGGGCTGGAAGTTAAACACAGACCCCGGCTAAAATAACACGAAATTTAATACAACAGAGTGATAGAACAATCTGAACAACAACAGTAGCAATGGTAACAACAATAAAGAGCAATAACAGTGAACAAGACAAACGATATACAGAGAAATACCGCAAAATGGTCACGGAAAAAAAAGTTCCCGCCACCGAGCCCACCAAAGAGCCCGGTAAAAAGGTTCCACCCCTGGACCTGACGCCAGCATGGTATGAATAACCCAGCTGGAGATCCCTTCCCCCTCTCTTTGTGCTGGGGAAACCTAACCCTATCCTAGCTGAACCAGGACATCCATTTATTGGCCAATCACACTGCTTCTAATGCAACAAAACTTATTTTCATTATATATTAAGACACTGTAAATATCTCCTGAAGAGGAGATAGCACTGCTATCTTGAGAATAATTTGATCACAAGCTTCTCTAAGGAAAACACGAGTGCAAGAGGAAAGATTAAACACTAGCAAAATTCAGTTCTTTGATAAATATTGTGCATGTACTTGAAACAGAAGAGGCTCTTCTGTACTGCTACATAATCCTGTCTTCAATAAAAAAAACAGTTGTCACAAGAAATAATTTTTTCTGAAAAGTATTACTTCCTGAAGCAGACAATACAGGGTCTCTGCACAGCTGTAATGTTTATTTTCTTCCTCTGCCATATAGGTTGCTATCTTTTATTTATAGCTACAATCCTGACAATGGAATAAGCTATGACTGATAAAGAAAGGTTCACAAAATAAAGGGTTTTAGACTAAGATTTTTTTAATAGGTTTTCAAAATTATTCAATGAGCCCACACATAAAAAGATATGGGGGTAGCCTATTAGCTGCTTGCAAAAGATGTCAGCATTGACTTTTCCAGCAGCATTCTGCAGCATTCATTTATTCACCATAGCAACAATAAAGACACCAGATAGAGGGGAGATGGGGAACATAGGAGAAGGGACTGCTTCAAAAGGGGAACTGGTATTTTTCCGTGCGTTGACAATTTAGCATCCCTTGGACACCACAAAAATCAAACTGACTTGGCAAGCTCTGCTCAGCTTTAGAAAGCATTAGCTTTGCTGTTGGACTATCAGTGGATGTCACTGTAATTGCCGCCTCTTTAAAAATTCAGTAGGAAAGGGGATGTGGAACCCACACAAACTCTGGTTCACCTGACACATTACTGTGTCTAAACATTTCAAAGTTGATAATGTTAAACATTTACAGCCAAAAAAACCCAAACCAACTCTGTCAACAACAGTTTTAGTAAATTCACAGAAAACCCAGAATCCTTCCATTAGATTTTGAACTCCTGAGAAACCCTGTTTTGTGGACAGGTTTAATAAGTAGAAATTCCGATGTGCAAGTTAAAAAGAAATAAAATTTTAAAAAATTCCTATTATCACCACTGCCTCAGATATTTAGAACTGTACCCAGATCTTCGTATCTTAATAATATACAGTGAAACACAATGAAACAGAGGATTTACCATTGAAAAGCAAGACAATTAAGTTAAAGAATCTTAAATACTGAGGGGGAATGTTTTGCTACAGGCACATGAACGTTCTCTTGTATGGTACAATACCTGTTAAACATATTTTGAAAGTCAAAGACACAGGTGGCACAATTTTCTGTCTGTTAAGAGTTTTAAAAAATACATTACATTGCAACTGGAAAAACAAGGAGCCACCGTGGCCAACAGATCTTTCCTTTACAAAGGTATGATCTTCACACTGAATGGGCTACAATTCTTACTGAAGTACTTCCTGGTCTTTAGCAAGAATGAGAAGAAATATTCCTTTATAAATTAGTAATAGTTGATGTCCTTCTTATTTGAGAAAGGATAATTCAGCCCTTTAATTCGTAAAAGTTTGAGCTTGAGGAGAAATACAGCTAACTGAAATGGATGATTTATGAAACTTTTGAAGAGGTGACTTGTGTCTCGCCTTTTTACACCAGAGACATTAAGTCTGTGCTTGTGTAATTACCCTGAACTTGTATGCAGTCAACTGCACAAGCAAAATCAGGGTTGTTTTTTTTTTTTAGCTAGTTTAAGGAAAAACAAAACCAGACAGATAATTACAGGGAAAGTGAAGATGCAGACTTGATCTGATCCTTTTCAGGTATGGATTATTTTCCCTTTCTGTTTGCATTTCCCTTTTTCATTTTGTATATTTGGAACTCAAAGGTTCTTTTAGTATTTCTTTTGGACTGATAAGTCACTCTAGGAGCAAGACAACTGCAACATCAAGACAACACTTTCCAAGATTTAAACAACTTTCATTTTATTTATTTTAGCTGTATATCTTTCCATATACCTAAGCATTGTTGTGAATGCATTCCTTTTCATCCATTCATTTCATATTATGGTGATAATTATTTTCCAACCATATATACTTCTATATTATGCATCAGGTTTTGTGTAATGTTTACATATTTACATAAAATGCTTATGTGTTTTTTCTCAAAATCCATATGTATAAATTATGTAATAGAAGTATAAACGTGTGCCTCTTTCTTTAATTTCTGTTCCTATTACTTGCCCTTTGAAAGCACAATAGTACATTGAAAGAGAAGACCATAAATTTTTGTGGGACTGTATTTTAAAATGCAAGGATTATTCAGCAAGCAGGAACTACTTTGGAGAATGTTACAGAAACATGCAGAAACTTTTATAAATTAAAAAAAAAAAAGGTCTAAAGTTAAATTAAGATTTTGGATTTACTTTTGTTAGTGTTACAGCCTTTGTAAATGTCCTGGTTCAGCCAGGATAAAGTTTTCCCCAGCAGAGAGAGAGGGGGAAGGGATCTCCAGCCGGGTTATTCATACCATGCTGATGTCAGGTCCAGGGGTGGAACCTTTTCCTTGCTCCTTGGTGGTTTCGGGAGGGAATTTTGCTTTCGGTAGACCAGCTAGTGGTATTTCTCTGTATATCGTTTGTCTTCACTGTTATTGCTGTTTATTGTGGTTACCATTGATACTGTTGCTGTTCAGATTGTTCTATCACTCTGTTGTATTAAATTTCTTGTTATTTTAGCCGGGGCCTGTGTCTAACTTCCAGCCCAACTGGCGCGGTTAGGGGAGGGGCAACGGCAACGTGGTCTCTGATCCCGGCGAGGATTAAAACTTGCACATCTATAATTGGCGCCTAACGTGGGGAAAAACTATGAGAATAAAACGGGACAGACCATGACCAGAGTGTGATAGAGCCATCTGTTGGGTGTAATTTTTTTTTTTCTATTTGTTTGATAAGAAAATGTTTGTGATGCTGGCCCACATGTTTGGGTGGTGTGGCTGGATTACTCGTTATATCCAGTGTGTGATCCCTACGGTGGTGTTGTTATGGGGGGTAAATGTGTAAAGGTTCTTATGTTGTTATACGGGCTATTGAACGCGTATGCTGCCTTTGTATCGCTGTGTGTGGGGGTGGGCCGGTACCTGTTTGCCGTTTGGGCTTTTGTTAGGGGTATCACCCCCTCTGTGGGTGAGCCAGGGGAAGGGATCCTCTCAGCTTTGGGGCGGTTTAGCCCCCCCTGGAGCCTGCAAGCCAGCGTGATTGTGGCACCATGCCTTCGGAATGTCTGCCTGATTTCAGTTTTGGCCATGCAGCATTTCTCTAACAATAGCAGTACGCAGAAACCTACTCCGAGGTCAGATAATAGTGAGTGGCAAGGGGTGTGGGAAAAGACGGGCAAAGGCCTGAGTCGGAGGGCACTCCAATGCTTTGGAACTTCACTCCTGAGCAAATGCAAAGCCCTGAGAAGAAGATGGAGTGCTTAGAAAGGGTGTGTTACCAAACTGGCAAAACTCAGGAGACACAAATTGCTGCACTGTGTTGGGGACTTGCCCATGCATACCGTGTCCTCTTTAATACCACCCACTGCCCTCAAAGGGAAGAAAAGGCCACACAAACAATATCTGAACCGGGAGCACAGGCAGAGCCAGTCGCAGTCGCCTCCACCAGCACACAGACTGAGCCAGAGAGCCAGGCAGTGCCAGTGTCAGTTGCCCCGATACAGAAAACAAAATATACCAGAAAGTTCGCAGAGTGAGGGATGAGGATGAGCCAGGCCCATCAGGGAACAGGAGGAAGGACCAGAGGTGATTGTCCGATCTCTGTCCCCGACTGAGCTGCGAAATATGTGGAGAGATTTCGGCTACCTGGGAGGTGAGCAGATTTACACCTGGTTGCTCAGATGCTGGGACAATGGAGCCAGTGCTTTGGAGATGGAGGGGAGAGAGGCCAAGCATCTGGGATCTTTGGCCAAGGATGCTGGCATTGATAGGGAAATAGGGAAACAGGCTCAAAACCTCAGCCTTTGGAAGCGACTCCTGCCCAGTGTAAGGGAGAGGCACGCCTACAAGGATGATACCCTATGTCAGCTAGGCAAATGCACCAGCATTGAGAAAGGCATCCAG